GCAGAACACTGTACCTTTAATTTAAATGCCCTTGGAGATGAGGAAGGAAGGAGAAGGAGAAGGAGAAGATGAGAAAGAAGAGAGAAGGAGAAGGATGAGAAGAAGGAGAAGGAGAAGGAGAAGGATGAGAAGAAGGAGAAGGATGAGAAGAAGGAGAAGGATGAGAAGAAGGAGAGAGGAGAAGGAGAAGGATGAGAAGAAGGAGAAGGAGAAGGATGAGGAAGAAGGAGAAGGAGAAGGATGAGAGAAGGTAGGAGAAGGAGAAGGATGAGAAGAAGGAGAAGGAGAAGGATGAGAAGAAGGAGAAGGATGAGAAGAAGGAGAAGGAGAAGGATGAGAAGAAGGAGAAGGAGAAGGATGAGAAGAAGAGAAGGAGAAGGATGAGAAGGAGAAGGAGAAGGATGAGGAAGAGGAGAAGGAGAAGGATGAGAAGAAGGAGAAGGAGGAGAAGAAAGAAGAAAGGGAGAAGGATGAGAAGAAGAGAAGATGAGAAGAAGGAGGAGAAGATGAGAAGAAATGAAGGAGAAGGATGAGAAGAAGGAGAAGGAGAAGGATGAGAAGAAGGAGAAGGATGAGAAGAAGGATGAGGAAGGAGAAGGATGAGAAGAAGGAGAAGGATGAGAAGAAGGAGAAGGAGAAGGAGAAGAAGAAGGAGAAGGATGAGAAGAAGGAGAAAGAGAAGGATGAGAAGAAGGATGAGAAGGAGAAGGATGAGAAGAAGGAGAAGGAGAAGAAGAAGAAGGAGAAGGATGAGAAAAGAAGGATGAAAGAAGGATGAGAAGAAGGAGAAGGATGAGAAGAAGGATGAAGGAGAGAAGAAGATGAGAAGAATGAGAAGGAAGGAGAAGGATGAGTAGAAGGAGAGGAGAAGGATGAGAAGAAGGAGAAGGAGAGGATGAGAAGAAGGAGAAGGAGAGGATCTGAGAAGAAGGAGAAGGATCTGAGAAGAAGGAGAAGGAGAAGGATGAGAAGAAGGAGAAGGAAAGGATCAGAAGAAGGAGCAGGATGAGAAGAAGAAGGATGAGAAGAAGGAGATGAGAAAGAAGGAGAAGGATGAGAAGAAGGATGAGAAGAAGGAGAAGGATGAGAAGAAGGAGAAGGATGAGATGAGAAGAAGGAGAAGGATGAGAAGAAGGAGACGGAGAAGGATGAGAAGAAGAGAAGGATGAGAAGAATTTCCAGAACTGTCAGAAGGATTCTAAGCCTGGAGAAGTTCTGAAAAAGAAGGATCCACTCCATAAGGAGAAGGATGAGAAGAAGGACAGTTTGAATGTTTCACAGAAAGTCTCTGTCTATTTCTGACAGTCTTCTGGGAATTCACTCCATACAAGGTGAATGTGAGACCGCATGTATGGAGGGATGTCATAAAACTGTCAGTATTCTAGACTATTTCTGACAGTTTGGAACATTTTTAAACTCCATACAGCAGTTTCAACCGCTGTATGGAGGGAATGTCAGAACTGTCAGAAATAGACTATTCTGACTAACAGTTCTGGGACATTTTCTCCATACAGCGGTTGAAACATTGTATCTATTTGTTTCCATAAATGGATCCATTATATGGAAACAAATAGATACAATGTTTCAACCGCTGTATGGAGGGTGTCCCAGAACTGTCAGAAATAGTCTATTTCTGACAGTTCTGGGACATTCCTCCATACAGCGGGTTTCCGGCAAAAAGTGTATGTGCAGAGTTCCTCTATTCTGCAGATACACTTAGAGGAGCTCTGCAGATACACTTAGAGGAGCTCTGCATTACACTTTTTGCCGGCTTGGAATTATTCTTATTTTCATCCTACTTCTTCTTCTTCTTCTTCATCCTCCTCATCTCTTCTTCTTTTCTGAGGATGAGGATGAAGAAGAAGAAGAAGAAGAAGAAGTAGGATGAAAATAAGATTAATTCCAAGCCGGCAAAAAGTGTATGTGCAGAGCTCCTCTAAGTGTATCTGCAGAGCTCCTCTAAGTGTATCTGCAGAATAGAGGAACTCTGCACATACACTTTTTGCCGGCTTGGAATTATTCTTTATTTTCATCCTACTTCTTCTTCTTCTTCTTCTTCATCCTCATCCTCTTCTTCTTCTGAGGATGAGGATGATCTGCAGAGTCCTCTAAGTGTATCTGCAGAATAGAGGAACTCTGCACATACACTTTTTGCCGGCTTGGAATTATTCTTATTTTCATCCTACTTCTTCTTCTTCTTCTTCTTCTTCATCCTCATCCTCTTCTTCTTCTTCTGAGGATGAGGATGAGGATGAAGAAGAAGAAGAAGTAGGATGAAAATAAGATTAATTCCAAGCCGGCAAAAAAAAAAAGTGTATGTGCAGAGCTCCTCTAAGTGTATCTGCAGATGAGGATGAATGGAAGAAGAGAAGAAGAAGTAGGATGAAAATAAGAATAATTCCAAGCCGGCAAAAAGTGTATGTGCAGAGTTCCTCTATTTCTGACAGTTCTCTGACAGCTTCTTCACATGTACAGCGGTTGAAACATCTGTTTCCTAAATGGATTGGAACTAATAGATACAATGTTTCAACCGGCTAAACATGTGTTCCTTCTGTCAGAGAACTGTCAGAAATAGCGGAGCTCACTGCAGGGGACACTTTTGCCGGCTGATCGGGAAATATTCGATTCGCGCACCGAAGTAGGCAAAATTTTCGGATTCGACGCGAATCGAATATTTCCTGAAATTCGACTCGAATTCCGGTTCGCCTGGTTCGATTCGCTCATCTCTAGTTGCAAACTAAAATCATATTTTTATTATTATTACAGATTGTTTTTAGGGGGAAAATATCAGTCTTCATGATCAGGCCAATTTTTCTATTTACACTCCACAACGTTAACTGGAAATTGTACCGTTTATCAACACTGTACCTAGACAAAATTTTATATATTTTTTTCCTAACAATAGAGCTTTCTTTTAGTGGTATTTGACCACTATATTTTATTATAGAAATGAAAAAATACTGTAAATTTTGAAAAAATACAATATTTGTTACTTTCTGCTATAAAACATATTTGATAAAAATTTTAATTTCTTTATAAACTTAGGCCAAAATGTATTCTGCTACATGACTTTGGCAAAAAACAAATCTAAATAAGTGTCTATTGATTGGTTTGCATCTAGTTATAGCATCTATAAATTATGGGACATATACTGGAATTTTTTATTTTTTTTAACTAGTATTGTCGATGATCAGAGACTTTTAGTGGGACTGTGCAGTGCAGAATTTGACACTTTGTGGGAAATCACCAAATTACACTGACCTCTTCAGTTACACTAATACAGTGATCATTGCTAAAAATATACACTGTCACTTTACTAATGACACTGGCTGGGAAGAGGTTAACATGTAGGTCCAATCAAGGGGTTAACTGTATGCTGCTTTGTACTACAAATGTATTTATTTATTTATTTTCCCTGCTTAGCAAGGAAAAGAAACAAAGTGATTGCTCCCGCTGTGTAGAACTCTGTGTTGTTTACCAACACAGAGCTATAGGCTGTGATTTGATAGGGAAGTAGGTGGGCAGGGGCATGCACGCGCACCCCAATCCTGGAATCGGGCAGTGATATACCAGTAAAACTACTGTGGTGGTTCAGCAAGTAAATAATATTCCCACAAGAAACAACAATGGAACAATAAATAAGCACAAGGCAAGCATCACAGGAGATCCAGCAGAATCAAAAATGTCCAGAAATTTGCTACTGCCATTGATATCACTATGGGCCTGACATCCCTGACTTTAGGGCTGAGACCTGCCAACTGCCACTCACTGCCTTAGTAGTATTAATCTGTATGTCTAGCCAAAACCTTTTTTTTTTTCTTATTTGGGATATTTATTTCAGGTACTTATATAACGCTGTCAATTTACGCAGCACTTTACATATATATTATACATTCACATCAGTCCCTAACCCTCAAGGGGTGTACAATCTAAAGTCCCTAACTCACATTCATACACATACAATGTAGACAGGATCCAATTCACCTACCAGCATGTCTTTGGAGTGTGGGAGGAAACTCACGCAGGCACAGGGAGAACATGCAAACTCCAAGCAGGTGGTGCCGTGGTTGGGATTCGAACCAACGACCCTAGTATTGCCAGGGGGAAGTGCTAACCATTTAGCTACTGTGCTGCCCAGTGAGTGAGGAAGCATTAAAACTCCTCTAAGATTTAACACTATCCATTAGCGAGATTAACTCTGTCCTGCTGACAATGGTTTACCAGACAGACAGGAAGTGAATATCTGCAACAGGGACACAGAAATAAAAATCTAAGAAGGGCCCTAGTCTTCCCCTACTATACTCAAACAAGTTTTTGTATTTCAGTCTGTATTGCCTTTGCAGAGTTATCCTAACTTCCTCTTATTAAAAATAAAAAAATCTGAAAAAAATCAGAAGTGATGGTAAATTGCTCCAATGTAGCCCTGGACAGCAGTAAAAGCCAATTAAAGAACAATAAGTGAAAAGAAAAAAATAGGGACATAGACAGCAATTTTAGAAAATCTCACAGTGGTTTTATCCCTTCTCCACTTTTTACAACATTCAGAACTAAAAATTTTTGGCTGTACTTTGGCTTTAATTATGAGGCCTTTCACATATATTTTTTAAAGGTTTTAATTTAATGTTTTAACTAATAAAGTCTGTAAAATCCTATTTATAAACTATTACTGTCATTAGTTTTAGTATGCAAATTGAATAATTGTTTAAAAAGGAAAGAATATTTACAACGTGACATAGAATAGATGGTGCTTATTAAACTTCAAAAACAGGTCACCATTAACATAATTAATGTAGGATTATAATTTCAAATGTTAAGTATGGAAAATTAAAGAAAGCATTTTATTAATGATGTAGACTCTTAAAAATACACAATGGATTTTATAAATATGCTTAATTATTTTTCTATCAACTTCATTGTTTTCTTTAGTTTGCTAATTGCCTATGGATATGGTATAATTAATTTGTTGTGAGTGTTTTCACTGGTTTCATATTGTCTAACAGATATTGATGAATGCAGAACAAACAGTTATCTGTGCCAGTACCAATGTGTTAACGAGCCAGGAAGGTTCTCATGTGTATGCCCGGAGGGATATCAGCTTGTTGGGACTCGATCTTGTCAAGGTTTGTATGATCATTAAATGTTCACTGTCTGTAATTTCTTTTTAAATCATAGATTATACTTCATAAAAGGATTATACTTCATAAAAGATAATGGGATAAAACATTTTTTTTTCATTCTATGGCATAATGATGTTCATAGTTTAACTAAGGTTTAAAAGCCAACGAAGCTTTCAAAAGGTCTTACAATTAAATTTTTTTCGAAAACTGCCACAACCTGAACAAAAAAGCCAGCATGATGTGGGGAGGGACCCTTGCTCCTTGTGTGGAAACAGTGGTCTCTCTGCAGAGGTGGGGCAAACACCCTGCTAAATCAGACCCATAGCTCTGTAATCAGCAAAGCTCATACTCACTTCTGATTGGAGAGCATAAGCTCTGCCTCAGCAGAGGACATGACAGACTTCTACGGAGAGACTACAGTCACACACAGAGCAAAAGTCCTCTGCAGCATGCTGGCAGGGGACATAGTTTTTTTTTTCTTTTTTTTTTTTAACAAGGTACAATTACACACTAGCCTGTATGGTAGAGAGCTGTCAGTGTGAGCTCCAGTAGGCATCGAACTACTTACCTTGAGCTTAATTTGAATTTGCACATGTTAACACTTCATTCATATCTTTGAACAGCATTGGGGTACATTGTGCTGCAGTGTGGTACATTCGGTGTTCTGCAGAAAAATACAGACATGCTGCATTTTTATGCACTGCACCACACAGCATTGTGGTGTGGATGGGGAACACAGAACACAATTGTTTTCTATGTGCCCTAGCGGTGACCTGCGTTCATCCAAAGTAGAAGAATGCGGCTCACCAAGCACAGTGTGAATAAGCCCTTAAACTCTGCAAGACTTTTGATCTGGTGCGCTTGGAACTTAATTAGCTGATTTAAACTTAAAGTTCAATTGCTTTTTAACAGATGGAATGCATATTTATAAGGTATCTGTTAAACATGATATTCCATTTAACATATGTACATTTCCTTTATAAGGATCAGAAGCTGGAAATACATATTGTACCTGTACCAACTACTGGCGAAATCTGGTGTGAATATACAGATACAGTGGTTCTCTGAGAATTATTATTACAGAATGGTCAAATTGGTCAACTGATTATTGTCATCAATAGCCAGACAGAGTGATATTTTGAAAGAGGTTGAAAGATATTATTACACAGAAATAGCCCTGTCAAATAGATATTTCATTAAACTGGAGCACACATGCTAACCTAATAAAATTATTCACTGAATCACCAAGCTGGTGGTCACATCGAGTTAAAATATTTTCACTATCTGGATTGGCTCCAGAGTATTTACAGATACTTCAGTTTACCAGTTCTGGGTCTTCTTCACCTCTGAGCCAATCCAGTCTTTGTATTCCTGCTGCTTTGAGAGGAAACCTCCATGGCCTCCAACTTCATCTCTAATGTGTCACTCATGATGTGGACCTTGAAGGACATCAGATTGAGGAACACAGCTTGACGATAATTAAGAAACCTTGGTTATATTGCTTGCTGCAGGAGAAATTGACACCCAGCACATAGAAAACTGAGAGCTAGTCCCCTTGAGGCTATAAAACCAGCTCACACCTGGTCAGTTTTGCTTAGTGCCCTTAGGAGAATGGATGTTGTTTCCCTTCTGCTATATGCTTTGCTTGAATTGGAAGATTTATTTCTGCTATAATCAGCTACTGGAAGATTCAGACAGGATATTTGAAATCATGGTCTTTTTGCCAATGAGTGCAGGTTTTTTCCAGTTCATTAACTGTAAGTGAGGTAGTTTTTATTCAGGAATTGTTGAATCGGGGATTATTCTTCTTTCTTGGTCATCCAACCAAGAGATTTCAAGATTTTTATTCAAACTGGTTTACAGTTCCAAAACCCAAAGAAGACATTAGTTCAGTCTTTGATTGATAGACTCTCAATGCCTTTGTTTGTCCTAACATTTTTGGATGGAATCTATTTGGTCTGTTATTGCCTCCCTTCATTGCAAAGACTTCTTAGCATCCATCGACATAAAGGATGTATATTTACACTCTCCAATCTTTCCAGGTCATCTGCATTTGCCATGGGCAAAAACCTCTATGAGTCTATAGCCTTCCCCTTTAATCTTGGATTGGCTCCAGAGTATTTACAGGTACTTCAGTTTACTAGTTCTGGGTCTTCTTTACCTCAGAGCCAATCCAGTCTTTGTATTCCTGCTGCTTTGAGAGGAGACTTCCATGGCCTTCAACATCATCTCTTATGTGTCACTCATGATGTGGACCTTGAAGGACTTCAGATTTCTGATTTTGTCCCATCACTTGGAATATTTATTTTTTATTATTTATTTATTATAAGTATTTATATAATGCCAACCATTTACAAAGTGTGTTACATATGGTACATTCACGGCAGTCCCTGCCTTCAGGAAGCTTACAGTATAAGGTGTATCCATACCTACAGATACGTATAGAGAGAACATGCAAACTCCATGTATGAAGTGTCCTGGTTGGGATTCAATCCAAGGAACCTAGTGCTGCATGGCAGAAGTGCTAAACACTAAGATACTGTGCTGTCTGAGTAGCTGGGTGTTCTCCTGGACACCTTTCAGGTCAAAATCGCCCTGCTCCTGCAGAATCAGTTTGGGCAACTTTATTCCTGATGTAATCCTGTGGACTGGAGCTATATGCATGTGGGACAGATCCAGTCTTTCTCTTAAATTGTAAGCAGTTTGTCTGTTATTGGACTCCTTTTCTGACCCACAATGAAGTCTAGGTTCAATTGGACAATGCCACAGCTGTCCTTTTGTTTTCTATGAGCCTACTGTTTATTTCTCCTGTACCTTACAGTATAACCTTAGGTTCTCTAATTATCAATGGAAAAGAATTTCAATGTGAGTACAAATTGCTATTATGTTTGCCCCTAATGGGTTTAATGCATTGACTGTGAAATTCAAAATTTTGATGGGCTTTCTTGTATTTAACAACATAACATCTTTGGTAACGAAAACCACAATGATAAGGATGTGTGTCAAATGGTCTCATGTTAATCTGAACACAGTTGTCAAAATCCTATCCCTTGAAACCCCTAAAAAATATGGAAATAGGTCAACAGGTAGGATTACTACAATGGTGGATCAAACTGTAAATATAATAGAGGTAAAATTATGTGATATGTGAAAATATTAAACCTATGGACTCTCTGTATTGGCTGCACCTAGGTAAACAAAACCTTTGTTTATGATTTAATTAACACACTGATTTCCAGCAAAATATAAATGCTCAGAGGTGAGTGGAAATGCTCTTTAATGCTATGTAATTGTCATGTTTGTTGGCTAGCAATAGATGAACAGTTACAATGTATTTTAGGCATGGGTTGATGGGTTATGGGCCTGTGCTGACAGGCCAATACATATTGCTTCCAGGTGCATTTTGCTTGCGTATGAGATTAGATTTAGGTGCTTCTGAGATCATTCACAGTTCATTTACTGGGGTGTTTGACTTGCAGTTGACATATATCTGACCTGCATCAACCGGCTTTGAGCTGCTTTTTGCATTCCAATTGACTTGTATGGGGAGATAAGCAATTCATACACGAACAAAAGTCTTTTGACAAAGGCCCTTACATCATTGGCTAGAAAAAATAATTATCAGCACAGAGGGGGCCTTTAAATATTTGAGAACATCTGGTTCCCCTTTAAAAAGCAGAATATTCCAGCAGCAGAATGTCTACACTGGTACCTTTTAATGTGGGAAAAGTTGGTCTTCTGTAAAGGATTACTCTACAAGTCACAAAAATATAAAGACAAGGGGTTATATTTACGTTAGGGATGATTGATATTGCATGTTAGGTGGTGTTCAAGGTAGTTAGTGTTAGAGTTACAAGGAGGCTAGTCTACATTAGCTTGTAGATACTGTATATAATATGCAAAACGTAATATGTAAAGTTGCATCGGCTGAACTGAATTAGATGAACTGAAACCCCCCCACAAGTCCACAAAAGAGTAAATAAAATTGAATCAGCACTCCCAATATAATAAAAGTTGGATGCTCCAGTTCTCACTATTTTTTAAATGCTTACTTTTTTTTAAAAAGCCAATTAAATTCTTAGTTGAAATCAGCTAAATTCACTTCAGGTTATCAAAACAGCCCCAAACAAAAGGTGTTCAATGTTCTACAGTTTGTTTTCTTTCTAAAGCAACCACAACTTAAGTAGAAAAGCTTATCCTCTGCCAGCTGCTATAAAGTATGATCCTTGTTCTCTGTGTGGAAGCAGTGCTTTCATTTCAGAGCTCAGATGCACCCCTTTTTGGGGCCAAACTAGAGCTCTGCAAACTGAAAAGTGATTGGAGAGCTCTGGCTCTGACTCAGCAGGGGGTGTATCAGACATCTGCAGAGAGATCACTGCTGCCTCACAGAGAACAAGGGTCCCACACTGCAGCAGGCACTGGCAGGTGACAGGCTTTTCCACTGAAGCTGTGGCTGTTCAAAGTGGAAGTTTGGTCAAATCCTAACGGGGCGGACTGACCATTTGGAAACTCGGGCACTGCCTGAGGGCCCGGGGTCAGTAGGGGGCCCCATAAAATGCCCCTGGTACCTTTTTCATAGGCTTTTTTGAGTTTGGGCAAGAGCACAGGGGCCCCATGATCCCCTATTGCCCAGGGGCCCCATGAGTTGTCAGTCCGCCCCTGATCCTAACTAAGGCTAAACCTACTCCCAACCCCATTCTATGCCTATTCTATCAAACCCTGTAAAGAAAAGATCTATATACTTACCTATTCTGAAGAAGCTCTGGTCCAGTCACATGGTCTCTCCAGTAACAGCTTCTGTGTAGAGGAGAGATCACTGATAACGGCTGCAAATGCCTGGGAGATGATGTTACACATAGGCTTACTATGCGGCATCTGTTGTCGGCTGCCCCTCCTCTACACTGAAACCACTGCTGACAGCTGATCATGGGACTGGATTGGAGCGGCTTCAGGTAAGTATATAGATCTTTTTTTTTCAGGGTTAGATAGAATAGGATTTGACTAAACTTCCACTTTAAAGAAAAAAGATTCACTTATTTTTTTTTTTATGCACATGGAATATATTTTGCTAATTTAAACTGAAAGTTCAATTGGGTTTAATTACTTTTTCCATACTATTGTTTGTACTCTGATGCAAAGCCGTGCAGTTAGCTTAACATCATATGTAAGTGTTAATTAATACGTAAATATGAGTTGCTTCATAATGAAGCTTTAATTTGATAAACATGTTGACAACACAAAATGAATTGGATACAGCTGTACATTTACAACATGCAGTAGAGAACAGTTTCCAGCATTCAAATATTGCTGTATTTGTTATTGAAGAGTTTACATGTTATATATTGAGAAATCTTTTGGTAGTGTTATTGATGGTGTACAGAAATGAGAGGAATAAATTAAAACATTTGTAAAGCCTGCCATTTTAAAGATTTCTATCATACAGATGGCAATCATACATTTAATTTTATAATCCCATAAATGTTACTTTAAGAGAATACTATGTAATGAGAGAATGTTTAAAATATTTCCAGACATAAATGAATGTGAAAGCAACTCTCACGATTGTGGTGAAGAAGGCATGTGTTGGAACTACTATGGTGGATTCCGATGTTACCCAGCAAACCCTTGCCAAGACCATATGTACGCATGTCAGATAAGTAAGTACAAGCGCAAATTAAATGTTCCTATTATGTGGCTTAAAGTGTTACTTAACCCAGGACCCTGCATTTACTATATCTGCTCTCCCACAGTACGCAGAACATGGAAATGCAATTATTTTAGTAAATATAAACTGCTAAATACCTTTTCTCATCAGCAGTTAGAGCAGTCTTGTGACTTCAGCAGAGCACTGGTTAAAGCTTGTAGGAGGAGTTTTCTTTCTGCTCTAGGAAGAAGCAAATCCCCTTGACCTCTGTCTGGACAGTGCTGATTGGCCCTGTGCTGATCACATGCACTCTCCCAAGAAAAAAATAACCTCTCTAGCAATACAAACCAAACTGACCATGGGTTCAGTCTGTATTGGGTGGTCATTTCAACAAGAGGAGGGGCAGAGAAGACAGGATCAAACAGCCTTTCTACACAATGCAGAGGATTAACTCCTTAGGTTCCACAGTGAGTATAACAAGCATGCTTTACTGCATATACAGACTGATTTTCTGTTGTGGGTTTAGTAACACTTTAAAGAAACCTATCACCAGACCTTTTTTTGTCTAGCTGTATTCATTAAAACAAGCAAAGATACGTGTGCTATTTGTTTTTGATTGGTTATTTTTTCCTTTATTTGTAAGCTATGCACAATAGGAAACAAGGAAACACTTCCAGCAATGTTGGACCCTAATATATTCCAGCTCCACCAAGGGCTGTAATGGAGCATGCTGTCAGCTGTCAGTAAAACTCTCTCCCAGTAAACTCCCTCCCCAGAAAGGCAAAACTCCCTTAAGCGAACCCCAACAGCAAAAAACTTCCCTCACCCCTATTTTGCCATTCACCTCTGCCCCACTGCACCTCTTGATCACCTGTCACCTCCACACTCCCTTGTCCACCATTTGCCTTTACACTCCCTTATCTATTACTCCCCTCTTCATAGCCTTGTCCACTGTCCACCTCTACACCCCTCCTTCACGATTTGCTTCTGCACCCCCTCGTCCACCAGTCACCTTTTCACCCCCCTCACCCAATATCTGACACTGCAGTCCTTTGTCCACTGCTCCCCGCTGTATCCCCTCATCCACAGCTCGCCCCTTTACTCCTCTCATTCACAGCTCACCTCCACGTGCACTCATTCAGGGCTCACCACTACACCCCCCCCTTTCCCATTGTTTGCCTCTGCACCCCCCTTGCCTCAGCATTTACTAATCCACTGCATCTCCCAAAACTTCTTGTCTACCACTCACAAACAATGCATTTCCTGCCCCTCCTCCTCACATTCATATACACTGAATATCCCTAACTTCACTCCCCACATTCATGACAGTTCAGCCGCCCTGACAGCCCCCCCCCCCCCCCCCCCTCCACATACACGCACACACATTTACACACATAATGCAGACCCCTGCCTCCCTTATCACACTAAAATAAAATAAAATTCAGATTCTCTGCCTCCATTTACACACAATTCAACCTCCCTACCCCCCTCTCCTTACATACAATGCGGCCTTCCTAACTCTCACCTCTGGCACAAAGCAGCCTCCCTGCCCCCTCTCCTTATATACAATGAGGCCTCCCTGCCCCTTTCCTGATACACAATGCAGCCTCCCTGCCTCCTCTCCCCACATACAGTGAGGACTCCCTGCTCCTCTCCTTTCACACAATGCAGCCTCCCTGCCCCCTCTCCTTATATACAATGAGGCCTCCCTGCCCCCTCTCCTCACACACAATGCAGCCTCCCTGCCCCCTCTCCTCACACACAATGCAGCCTCCCTGCCCCCTCTCCTTATATACAATGAGGCCTCCCTGCCCTTTTCCTGATACACAATGCAGTCTCCCTGTCCCCTCTCCCCACATACAGTGATGACTCCCTGCTCCTCTCCTTTCACACAATGCAGCCTCCCTGCCCCCCTCTCCTCACACAATGCAGCCTCCCTGCTCCCTCTCCTCACACACAATGCAGCCTCCCTTCCCCCTCTCCTTATATATAATGAGCCCTCCCTGCCCCCTCTCCTCACACACAATGCAGCCTCCCTGCCCCTTTTCTGATACACAATGCAGTCTCCCTGCCCCCTCTCTTCACACACAATGCAGCCTCCCTGCCCCCTCTCCTTGTATACAATGAGGCCTCCCTGCCCCTTTCCTGATACACAATGCAGTCTCCCTGTCCCCTCTCCCCACATACAGTGAAGACTCCCTGCTCCTCTCCTTTCACACAATGCATCCTCCCTGTTCCCTCTCCTCACACAATGCAGCCTCCCTGCTGACTACCTCACAGTAACTCATAGTCTAGAGCTCATGGAGCCTGTAGGAGGGCATGGTCAAATGTAGAGAAGGACCAGGAAGAAGGTGTTGTTGTATAGGACTCCTGTAAAGTAACATAGCAACCTGCAGATTACATAGGGAGAATGCACTCTGTGGATCAGGAGCTGCTGTCAGTACTGTTGAAACAGAGAGGAACCCAACTGTCAATGTGAACACAGAGCCAACTGGGAGCCCCTCTTCCAGTGTATTCTGCAGCGTTGGGCAGCCTCTACTTACTTTGTGTAAGCCTGGCCCTGATTGTATGCCTGCTCACCAGTATGCCTTGTGGCTGTCATGTCACGAGAGGGGCTATAGATTGCGGGCCTGCTTGTCATTAAGGGGGTATCTAGCTATTATGAGTTGCTACATTGTTAATTGTGTCTTGCATGTTTGGTGGATGTTTTTTTCAAATACTCAAATATAATAGCTTCAGAATAAAGACCTACACAGAAAAGGTCAATAGTTTGTAGACCAGACAATGGCACTGGTGACTCTGACACAATTCTGACACAACTGCACGGCTCAAAAAAATTAACGGAATACTTTTTAATCAGAGTATAGCATCAAGTCAATTAAACTCCTGGGATATTGATCTGTTAAGTAGCAGAGGGGGTCGTTAATCAGTTTCAGCTGATTTGGTGTTAATGAAATTAACAAGAAGTGCACCAGATAGGCAACAAGGAGACAACCCCCTAAACAGGAATGGTTTTACAGGTGGAGGCCACTGATATTTTGTTCCCTACTCATCTTTTCTGACTGCTTTTCACTAGTTTTGCATTTAGCTAGGGTCAGTGTCACTACTGGTAGCATGAGGCGATACCTGGGCTCTACAGAGGTTGCACAGGCAGTCCAACTCCTCCAAGATGGTACATCAATATGTGCCATTGCCAGAAGGTTTGCGCCCAGCACAGTCTCAAGAGCATGGAGGAGATTCCAGGAGACAAGCAGTTAATTTAGGAGAGCTGGACAGGGCCGTAGAAGGTCCTTAACCCATCAGCAGGACTGGTATCTGCTCCTTTGTGCAAGGAGGAACAGGATGAGCACTACCAGAGCCCTAAAAATAACCTCCAGCAGGCCACTCGTGTGAAGGTCTCTGACCAAACAATCAGAAACAGACTTCTTGAAGGTGACCTGAGGGCCCAACGTCCTTTAGTGGGCCCTGTGCTCATTGCTCGGCACCCTAGGGCTCGATTGAACACCAGAATTGGCAGGTCCTCCACTGGCACCTTGTGCTTTTCACAGATGAGAGCAGGTTCACCCTGAGCGCATGTGACAGACATGAAAGGGTCTGGAGAAGCCGTGGAGAACATTATGCTGCCTGTAACATCGTTCAGCATGACCGTTTTGGTGGTGGGTCAGTGATGGTCTGGGGAGGCATATCCATGGAAGGACACACAGACCTCTACAGGCTAGACAATGGCACCCTGACTGCCATTAGGTATCGGGATGAAATCCTTGGACCCATTGTTAGACCCTACATTGGTGCAGTGGGTCATGGGTTCCTCCCGGTACACGACAATGCCCGGCCTCATGTGACGAGAGTATGCAGGCAGTTCCTGGAGGATAAAGGAATTGATACCATTGAATGGCCCTCACGCTTGCCTGAGCTAAATCGAATAGAACACCTCTGGGATATCATGTTTCGGTCCATCTGATGCCACCAGGTTGCACCTCAGACTGTCCAGGAGCACAGTGATGCTCGTGATGCTCTGGCCCAGATCTTGAAGGAAACATCGACAGGACACCATCCGTCGTCTCATTAAAGCATGCCCCGACATTGTCAGGCATGCATACAAGCACGTGGGGGCCATACAAAAATACTGAGTACCATTTTGAGCTGCTGCAATGAAATTTCAGCTAAATGGACTAGCCTGCTGCATCATTTTTTCACTTTGATTTTTAGGGTGTCTTTGAATTTAGTCCTCTGTAGGTTGATAATTTTCATTTCCATCAAATGATGGGGCATCCTTATGTTCCTAACACATTACCCAGTCCATATTAGTATAGATATCCAGTATGATATTTTTATCCATTGAGATCTGATGTGTTTTCAAAGTGTTCCTTTAATTTTTTTTGAGCAGTATATATTAAATTCACTATATCAATTTAAGGTCTGTCTTCATTTTTACTGCTTGTCTGAAAATCATACTGTCATTTTGGAATCCTGCCAATAGATGTTGTTTGTGTGCTGTTACTACAAAATACATTTTCATGTGTTAATGATTATCCACAATTTCTATTTCATTCTACAAAAAACAGATGTGCAATGTATCAGTAAGCAAATACATTTACAGTTGCAATTGTATTTATACAAACAGAAGTTAACATGACACGTTTTGCTCTTTTCCAGTCGCTGCGTGTGCCATGTAACGAATCCACTTTGTCGAGACCAACCATACAGCATCGTCTACAAATACATGAGCATCCGATCCAACAGACCTGTGCCTTCTGATATCTTTCAAATTCAAGCCACATTGATCTATGCTAATACAATTAATACATTCAGGATTAAATCTGGAAATGAAAATGGTGATTTTTACTTACGGGTGAGTTACAAGTATTTTAGTGCTTTTCGCGTTATCAAGTAGTTCCTGGGTCTTGCTTGCACCTTGCACATAGGAACTTAGCTAAATTTATTCAAAGCCTGTCCCTCCAAGAGCTAAGCCTCAGCTTTCCATTAAATTTCTAAGCCTCGCCATTCCATTAATAGCAAAACTAGGGCAGAAATTAAAGCCCTGAATACAGCATGCTCTCAAGATTTAGGAATTCAGTTTTCTGCAGCTCACTTTAAATTATTTTTTCGGACATAATACAGTACAGTTAGGCTTTGTTTGGGGGTAGCAAAAATGCTCGGTTGAGCCCGCCAATGCTTCCCCCTTAAGCTGCAGTAGGCAGTGGCCGCCGAATGCTACACATTCAAATAAATGGGAAAGTGCCGCAAACGTTCCACAATCACGGGCAATGCACATGCTTGCAGTGCGACTGTTGGCACAAAAATGGGTTTAAAACAGGCATTCCTTCCTCACCGCCTCTCAGTAGCCTCTGGAGCATGATCTACCCTTACAGGGACATTAAATGACATTTCTTTATGGGGAGGTAAATTGTAACTTTAGCTTTATATTAAGTAAGAAAACAGTAAACATCTCTGTTTACAATGATATTATTAATCTAATGCCACCCCAAAAATGAACCGCTTCCCGACTGTCCCATAGCAGAACTACTGCTACAGGGCAGCATGGCTGCACAAAATAACGTATATATACGTGATTTTGTATTTCTGGGTAGGGAGCACGCAAGCCGAGCACATGCCCTACCCGTGCTGCCACTGGTGGCTTCAGCTGTCGATCACCGGGTCCCGGCCGGTGATCGCCGAGTATCACTGACGGAGGAGAGGTATGTATGTAAACAAGTCTCTCCCCTGTCAGCTCCAGCATGCTACTTTGTATGGCTCTGCATAGCAAAGTATACATAGTAAAGCACAGCCCACAGCACATCGTAAACATACACAGCACGCAGTTAACCCTTTGATCGTCCCTGGTTGCTAACACCTTCCTGCCCAGTGTCATTAGTACAATGTCAGTGCTTTTTATTAGCACTGATCACTGTATTAGTGTCAGTTAGTCAGTACCCCCCAGTGTCAGAATGCCCACCGCAGTCCCGCTATAAGTCGCTGATCGCCGCCATTACTAGTATAAAAAAAACTAGTATAAAAAAAAAATTCCAGTATATAGACCGCCATTTGTAAATGCTATAACTTTCACGTAAACCAATTAATTTACACGTATTGGGATTTTTTTTTTTTGCAGACATGTAGCAAAATATGTTTTGGCCTAAATGGGTGCAATGTTGCATGGCTGCGCAATCATCAGTTAAAATAATGCAAAAAATGTCCTGGTCAGGAAGGGGGGTAAATCCTCTGGAGGGCAAGTGGTTAAGTCATTAGTTAGTGGAACAATACACGTACATGTGTCATGCATGCATGCAACACATCCTTTCTTCCTTCTTTCCTGCCATTAGCTACAATAATGCAATATGTTCTATAATCTCATAAGGCATATAAAATGGGTCTTGCATTAGACACATAATATGGCCCTTCTTACATTCCTTCCATTAGGCAATTTTATGGTGTTCTTATGGTTTTCTTTCTTCCTTCTTTTACTCCATTTTAAGGCACATAAAAAGGTCTGTCCTTCCTTCCTTCAATGAAGCACATAAAAACTGTCCTTCCTTCCTTACCTACATCAGAATCAATTCCACATTCCAAAGAGATGCAAAGGCCCAGTAGAAGCACATTTTTACAATCCATTTTTATTTTTCTATTTTTCAGCAAACAAGTGGAGTAAGCGCAATGCTTGTCATGATAAAGCAATTAACTGGGCCAAGAGAATACATCGTTGACCTGGAAATGGTGACAGTTAACAGCCTAATGAATTATCGTTCAAGTTCCATTTTACGGTTAACAGTCATAGTCGGGCCCTACTCGTTTTAGTCCCTTGATCAAACTTTTAACACTGGAAGCAATAAAATGATATACTATACAGTACATCACTCATTATTTATAGATGTTTTGTCTGAATTGCATTTTATATGTAGCCATTGCACACTCTAGGACCATTGTAACTACATTTCCAACACAGCTTTGTTATTTCTTTGCTTATGCTTACTGAATTTCTGCCCTTGGTGGAGGCAACAAAATATATTCATACATTTTTTCCAGGAATACAGCCTAGAAGTTGACTAAGATCTAGTGACATTATATCACATCTATAATGTTTAAGGGGCCAATTTATAACAGAACTTGGATATCCCTATCCACTCGCTATAATACTCACAATATTGCTCAATACTGCTACAGCAGTACTGAGCCTACATTAATTCACAGAGTTGTCTCTGTTTAACACAGAGAAGAGAACTGTTATGTAACTTTTACAGATCACTTAACCAAGCTTTCCAAATTACTTTTTTTTTTACAGCCCCATTCTTTTGTATTGGCTCCCAAAGCCAGAGGAGTGCAGTGCTTTTTAAATGGACTCCTGAGTTATGTCACTAGTCTCTAATAAGGTGATAGGCTAACACAATATGGTGGCCTCCCATGTGTAGATGATTGGTAATGTGTAATGTCTTTTTTTTGTAATATGGTTCAAAATATGGCAATTATTCTTGTGTTCATATCATGTAAATACATTGTCAGTAGATAAATGTAAATGTCACGTGTCTGATATTGTTACTATTTTTACATGCCTCACATAGCCATATTATATCAACACAGAATATAATGAGCTGAGCTACTTGCATTTAAGAGCCTAGTTTTCCTTAGAATATGCAATTATCCATGAACTAAGTTTGTCTTGAAAAAGGCACTATAATAAACCTATTGACATTTCTGTGTTAACCTTTATAACATAAAAGGATCAGGCTACCCCAATATGTTAGCTGCAGACTGAAACACCAACATCTTCAAATATTTCATAAGAAGAGAAGTCTCATTTTGGGGTCCCAGGTACACTGGACTTTTTTAAATGTTAAATTAGAGATATTTCAGCAGACTCCTTTTGCTGTATCAGAATACAATATACAGTATTTGAACCTTGTGTGCAATTAAAGCTAATCTGACATCATCAGAGCTTTTTTTTTTTTTACTTTTTTCAAAAGAAGTGACTCCGGTTACTTTTCACTGACCATGGGGCAAGTAAGTATCACTAATTTTCTTATTCGGTGTGCTTTAAAAAATGGTGGTGGTGACAAGGACACATACTCCCTTCTGCATAGCATCCTCTGTCTTTTTACACTGTTGTTGTTTTAACTAGGCATTACAATGTAGCATTAATTATATTCCCTGTGTTGTTTGTTTGCCTTACCTTGTAATGATAGGGTCACATTTTGTGGCTGCAGTTGGTGGTGTCACAACTGATGGATTCTCCTATGTCCATGTATTCATTCACATAGCTTCTCCCTATTCACCAGAGGGACAATTTCTTATTCTGGGTGACACAGCATCCACTGAAATGAAATAAACACATCTCTTCCAGCTCTGTAATTTATCTTACCTGCAAAGCACCAGACTGAGAGACCTAGGAAATGTGGGATATGTAGTTTCTTCACAGGAAGTGTCAGTTCTTAGACTACAGACATTTTTACATTTTAGATTACAAATATCATATATTAACCTGTGCAGAACCATTCTGAAACTGGAATGAGAAGATTTATTATATTCTTGCACTATAGGCTGTGCACGTAGGGCAGCAAATGACATCATGAAATGATCAATGTATATCTTATGCAGGTATAGGTAGGAAGGTTTATAATGCCTCAAAAATTTCAATATGTATGGGCTAACCATTTAAATGTTATTTCTAAGAACACTAGTATTTAGAACTTTCAAAAACAGTTTGAAATGACACTAGAAATCATAATCAATAACAAAAGTAAATAAAAAAAATGGATCACCACATATGTATTGTAAACATTTTAATGAAATCTGATCAGGATATTTTTACTTATTATGAAAAATTAAAACTGGGTCTTCCATCCAATTGTATCCTTATTTTAGTAAAATTTTTTCTAATTCCAAAAAGTCAGAGGCATTTTTTTAAAGTATGCCAATGATTTTAATTGATTCACCTTCGTAAAAAAATAACAATAAATGCACATCTTTTTGCAGTTAAATAATGTGCATTTATTATTTTTTTACTAGGAGCCTGCATAGCATGGCACCCGCAAACAGCAGATCGCAGGTGCAATTTCAGGCTCCTGCAAACTGCCAATGTAAGCTGCCTACTGGCAGGCAGTTACTGATTGACAGGAAGCATCATTGAACTAACTACAGCACTTAACAGCGTTTTGGTAGTTCATTGAGAACTACAATCCTCAGCTGCAAAAGCTGTCGGTACTTGAAGTTCTCCCATTCACAGAACTCAGTGAATGAATAATGTTGCAGGTGGGCAGAGCCCTCCATGGCCGTGGTTTTCTTTTTTATTGTGACAGTGGGTGCGAGGAGAGGATCCCCAGCTCGCTGTCTCAATGGAGGATTGGGACACCTGCAACAGTAACATTTTACACCCCGAATACAGGTGTAACAAAAAACATTACAAAAGGTGAACTTTTCCTTTAAATATGGATAACTTAGGTCCCCAGATTGTACTACAGGCATTTCATATAGTGCGCCTTTACTTCCCGAATGCCTCTGGGAACTCCAAACCCAATAATAATTACTAAGCCACTGACAAAAGTTTTGATAAAGCTCCCATCAGTGGCAGGTACGCTATGATGAACTGCTATTTACACCTCCTTTACAAAGGTGGTCAGAGGTGGGAAGCATATAATGCATCCCTATAGGGGGTGCATAGTTGAAAATACCCTAAAGCTTTATATTATATAAACTGACTCTTCTTAGCACAAAGATTTTACCAATACTAACAGAGTAACAAAGCATTGCACTACACAAATTGAATAAGCTTTTCTAAAACCATTAAAGCTGAACTCTGGGCAGATATCAAGAAAACACTCGGTAATGCATTTAGTCATTTGTTCAAAATCATGGAATGTACTATACAGGCGTACCTCGGTTTACGAATTTAATGCGTTCTCTGGGACGTTTTGTATTGCGGAAAATTTGTAAACCAAAACGTGGTTTCCCAGAAAAATGCATTGGAAAACAATTAATCTGTTCCGGAGGTCAGAAAAAACTAAAAAAAAAGTCTTTTATCTGTTCAAAACTCTTTATAAAGTGCACTTTAAAGGCATAAATACTGTACAGGGACATGTTAAAAAATGTCCAGGATGGCTCCAAAACTTGATGCAAAAACCGCTCCAACACCTCCACACCCAACACCACGTACTACCCACAGACTAGAGCATGCACGAGGCCAGCATTATAAATCTCCCAGGCACAATTCATTCTGGGGAAACTTGGTTTGTATTGCGAAAAAAAATTTGTAAATGCATTGAAAACCAATTAATCTGTTCCGGAGGTCAGAAAAAAGTAAAAAAAAAAGTCTTATCTGTTCAAAACACTTTATAAAGTGCACTTTAACGGGGCCAGTGCTATAAACCTCCCAGGCGCAATACATCCTGGGAAAACTTGCTTCGTATTGCAAAAAAAATTCATAAACCGAGGCATTATTTTTAATGGATTTTCATTCGTAAACCAAAAATTATGTTAACCGAGGCGTTCGTAAACCGAGGTACGCCTGTATATTTGAATGCCAATAGTATAAGCCCCTGAACTTGGCTTGCTATAAATGTCGTGCAATCTTCTGTACAGCAGCACTGACACTGGGAGGAGGGGAGCACTAAAAGACAGGCGAAGTGTAGTGAACATGTGATGACAAGGAACATGTTGATAGAGGCGGGGAGCAGTGGGATAAGCTCAACAATCTGCTGCTGGTCCTTTATTGTCCAATCACAGGCTGGGGGTGGAAAGGTGACATAGCTGTTTTGCGTAACTAAAGAGCTAAATCACCAACCTGACTGTGGTGTCTGACAGGGCTTTGTAGATCTCAGGATTGCCTGGACAGAATTAAGAATCATTCACAGGTAAAACAGTATATATGTACTTCCGTTGCAATTTAGCTGTCTGCCTGGAGTTTGGCTTTAAAGTGGTTGTAAACCTTACATATAACCAGTAAAGTAACTCACCTCAGGTGATACACAGAGATTAAACAAATCATTTTTTGCAAGTTGTACCTGTTTATCTGCAATATCCTCTTCTCTACAGCCATTTAAAGTCCAGAATTTACACAGGATCTATCAGCTCTTAAAAAGCAGTGGGCGGGGAGCTGAAGATACACTTAGTGAGGAGAGCTCTGAGAGCTGATTGGAGGAAAGGGGCATGTTCCATTCATACAGCACACAGGAATAGAGCTGAGGATGTCAATCTGCTGGAGATCCATCCCCTGTCACCATTTTTCTCTTGGTATCAGGAAAATGTGTTGGAAGTGACTCATGCTGATAGCGGAGGAACGAGGCAGCAGACAGAAATGACACTTATGTAGGCCATAGACCGTTTGTTTATCGGCCGAAAAACGAAAAATCGGTCGTTCTGTTGCCACCAATGATTGCGAAAATCGGCTGTTTTTTGCAAATTTTCCAGCATGATCGATAAAAGAAATGAAAGGAACCGCGGAAAATCTTATTCTTATTCTTTCGGACGAAAATTCGGCCAGATACACGAACCATCTATGGCCTTCATTAGTGCCCTGGATAAAGATAAGTACACACTATAGAGGGATATGCTTTGTTCATATTTCATGTCTGAGGTTACAACCCCTTAAGGTACATACATTAATTCATCTCAAATATTCTAATATCTAAGTGCCTGTTCAGTATGTTTTCAAAGATATATATTTTTATTAAAATGTGTAAGATTCTACATTGCATTATTTTGTATTCATGTATTTTAGGAGCTTTGATATATCTGATACTGTTTTTACTTTAATGTATAAAGTTTTTATTGAAATAAATGATAAACTAACAAAATGAATGCTGAGT